ATCAAGGAGATTATGGGGCCAAAGAGGAAAGTGATCGATGATGTAGAGTGTGCCTAAGGAGAGTCACATGGAGAGAAAACATTCTCTCAGGCTTTCACGGGGAGCACACTGGCCAAGCCATGGCTGTGACTCATCCACATGGCTGACACTGACAAAGGTTCTACAATCAGAGGTACAGGATCTCAGGATAAATACTGAGAGGATTTCACTGACCTTATCAGATCGAAAAGATACAACTCCTGTTGCATAGGTCTTACTTTATCTTAATCTTAACCATCCAGCAGAAAAGTATAAAAAGGAAGTATAAGAAGTGAAGCCATGTTGTTATGTTGAGCTGTAGGGGACTCAGGTCAACAACTTCTGACACTGCCAGTCAAGCAGAAGACCCAATACTATTATAGATTACTTGACTCTTTTAGAATATTTTTGCTGATTTGACACTCCTATAATATTCAAATGATGGAACAAAAAAGGGGATATATAAGTGAATGTGCATTTTGTATTTGTGTATTCAAATGGTTAGGATAGATATATAGTTACTTTCTCTTAATGAATAGAGGGATTTGTTTTAATGCAGTGAATTTCCTAATAAGTCTAAGATCTGCTGCAAAGGCAGTCATCTTTTTGATGGAGTTTCATGTCACCACTCTCTGCCATTAAAATTTGAATGAAATCTGAGAAAGTCCTGAGTTCAACTGGGTCTTAATTAAGAATTTATAGGAGAGACAAAAGATGGGGATAAAATTTTAAATACTGCCAGGAAAGATTTGCACGCGTAGCTCTAACTCCTCAATCAGAGTCTGTCATTTGTTTTCTACAGACTACAATGAATTACAAAGCCACTATATCAAACACACTATAAGCTCTCACTTCCCAGAAGGCATCACTGGTGTGAAGAAGAATTGCTGCTTTGATCATTCTCAGTTGAAGACCAGTATACTTCCAGGCTTAAACATCCCTCTTCAGCTTCCCATTGATAAGAAGCAATTAACTTTTCATAAGACACCATACTCATCACGTTCCACATCTACTCCAGGATGAATAACAGAAACATGAACTTGAGTCACTTTTCCTGCCTGCTATTTTTATTTATTTATTTAGGAACCGGGGATTGAACTCAGGCCCTTGCGCTCACCAGGGAAGCGCTTATTCCACTGAGCCATCTTCCCAGCCCCTCTTGTCTGCTATTGCTTCAGTTCCTAGTGCACTAATGTGTAACTAACTGCTTCACTGCCATCACAGGAATCCTCATAACTCACAGTATCACCTTATACTGGGACCCTGCTTTTGGCCTTCTGTTATACTTTAGTAAAATTTCTTTGCTTTAGGATACAACAGTTGCCAACCATTTCTTGGTATCTACAAGAAACCAGATTTCTTCATATCTTAATTACCTCTGCTTTTAAAATATCCTTGCAATCATCTCCAACTTGATATTGATTTGGGATCTTTATTTTCCTCCAACAAGGATTTCCTACTCCCAAACTGCCTACAACAAGAGAAAGATCAAATGATCAAGTTTATCTCTAAGCACAAAGCAATACCATTTCCAGTAGCTGATGAGGACTGTGGATGTAAGACGAGGTTGTAATCAAGAGAAGATGAGGAGGATGATTATATCTGATCTATT